TTCTGAATACTCAGACACTGTACAGTAGAATATAAGAAGAATACAAGAAGATCAATGAACATAAAACAATCAAAGCAGCACTGTGACAACGATTAAATACTGTTAATAAGATATTTTATATCAACAGTTTGGTTTAACGTTCTTCTCTTTAATCATCGTTTTGATTATTTTATGTGTAATTCTGCCACATTGTGATAAACACTAAGACCAGAAGATATAATCAGTGTCACGTTAATAACGTATGAAACGTAGATTTAAAGTAACAAAGCAAAAACTATATTTGTGTATTTAAAAGCAGAGTTCAACTGTTTATGACGGTAGAAGCTTGTGCAACATTTATATAACAAAACTGTTTATTAATCATCTTGTACATATTAAATATACACACACACACACACCACACACACACAGACACACACACAGACACCACAGACACACACACACACAGCAACACCAACAGACACACACACACACACACAACACACACAACACAACCACACACCAACACCAGCACACACACAAAACACACACACAGCACACATACACCACACCACACCACCACACACACACAAAGCACACCATACACAACACACACACCCACCCACACACACCACAGACACACACACCAAGCACACAATAACACACCAGACACAACACAAAAGCCACACACACAACACACACGCACACACAGACACACACAGACACACACACAACACAAGGAACACACAGCACACACCCACACAACATCAAGCACAACAACACACACACAGACACACACACACATCACACACAGCACACACAGACACACAACACACCACACACGGACAATACACACATAACACACACCACTGTGCAACTGCAACACAATCACAACACACATGACACAATCTAACACTACCACACACACGACACACTGCACACCACAACGAACACACCACACACACACACGACACACACACACACAATCATCACAGCACACATCACCACACAGTCAGTGACAGCATCACACACACAAAGTGGACCCAACGAGCAATCACACACTGACCTCAACACACACCCACATAAATCACACGAGCTGTACTCCGATCTGAAAAACTACAGCAACAGACACACACAGAACCACAGCACAGACAACACACAGGACACGACCAGAGACACCACTCGACACTAAGCTGGGACACCACTACACACACACACACACGACACACACACACACACACATACACACACCTAGCATCACCACACACAGGATCACACACACGCAGGACACTCAACCTCAGCTACGACAACACACAGACACACAGACACACACACACACACAGACACACCACACACGAAACCACACAGAC